ATGTATTTCTTCTTTTTCTGTCCCCTGGGGCGTGGCCTTACACTCAGTCCTCACTAGAATCACATACTGTTATTCACGGTGCTGTAATTAACACATAAAATCTGTCTATCTACCCTCAGCTCCCCACCACATCTTCATTCACACCAATGGAAACAAGAATTATAATCTACCAATGCTGTAACCATGGCAACGGCTCCTCTGCAATTTACTTTACCAGGGTTTTTTGTTCTTTTCGCCTGTAGCTCTTAAGCAGGCGATGACAAGAGCCCAATTAACCACCTTTCTTCCCCGTTATTAGGACTTTACTCATGCTAGTTTTGCAGGCTGATAACAGTGTTTTTAAGTGAAGCTGCTTATTCACATTTTACCATTTTTATGGCACCAATGCCTATCTTCTGTGATTTTTGTCATTCAGTCATTCAGTGCAGTTGATGATTTCATCTACATTTAGGAACATTTCGCAAGTTTCACAAATTCAGATCTGCTTATGAGTCGAGATCAAATTAGGAGTCTTATCTTATGTGCTCTCTGAATTTATTCCACTGTGCTCTGACTGGATCAGGCCAAAATATGAATTTTCTGTCGTTGTACTGCTTCTTCTGAGTGTCAGCTGGAGAAGAGCCACCATTACATTATTCTGTTAGATGCCATAATAAACTAAATTTTCCTCCTGATGATGCTCACATCTCCACACTTCACCAATGTGTACGCACCATGCAGTGCCCTTTTATACAGCATTCATAGTACTGTGTGTTCTTCCTAAATGATTAAAATGTCAAGGTGCTCTTTGGCAACCTTCAGGTGAACAGTGATGCTGTTTTGGGGAGCGGCCACTACCTCCAAGGTGTCCTGTGCTTCTTTTTAACTAACTGGTCATTTTCTGTTGTGCGTTTCGAATCCCACCTCTATGGAGAGTGGACATATATCTACAACCTTTACGTTAAAAGACGGTATTCAAGTCATATTTTAGCCCGTTCAGCTTTGTGTTTCAGCTATTGAATAATATAATCAGTATCAAATTATAATGTAATGCTCTCTATAAAAACAATTTTATCTTTTAGCCAGTGGGTTGACATAATTAGCAACCACCAGCACTAAGATGCATTAAAGACAGTAGTAACACTTTCCTTCCCACTCCAAAGTTATTGCTTGAACCTGATGATGAAGATCATGGCATTAAGTGAGAGGATGCGTCTGAAGAGTCACTTATATTCCCAGCAAATCTCTCAACCCTCTCTAGAACAACAACATAATAACACTGTTCTAAAAAAGTGACGGATGCACAAAAGTCCACAATCAACTAAATGAATCGGTCCAACAGAGACACTCCCTCTCGTGCAGCTTTGTCTGACACTAATATATACTAATCGTAACAATCAGTGTATCAAAACATGTTTTCTAATCATGTGCATAGATGACACGTTCTCTGCGGCTGTTTAACTAAAGCTGTGTTTGTCTGCAGAGCGTCCTGTCAGCGTACATTAGCATTGCTCCAGAGCAGGGCTGGGTGAAGGGGGGGTGGAGGCTATAGTCGGGACAGGATGGGTGACAGAAGGGCTGATGCTGGCACTCACTGAACCTTCTCTCCCTGTGAAAAGCACTTCAGACACAACAAGATTTACTGAAGCACAAAATTGCCCTCTTGACTTTCTCTTTAAAATGAGGTTGAGGAAGCCAGTCAGCCATACTGCGAGTGGTCAAGAGAAAGAGGTGAAGAAAAACAGAGGGAGCTAATAGAAACCATGACAATACATAAAGTTGTTTAGCTTTTTCTACATTTATTTCTAGCAAGGTTGTTGTTAAATTCCCATCCATCAATATGTTGGAGGACGTAGAAAATAGGTTACACAGACATTTCTGTTTTATTGTAAAATAATTGTACTCCACGGATTAAGCTTTTCATTTCGAAAACATTTTAGGTGGATCCAACTGAACTCTGTAATGCACACATTCCTTTTCCCTCTTTAAACCCCAGACCTATATTACCCACAGTGCATCTCAACCACAAACAGTTGGATTTATGTGTTGATGTAAGCCTGAGCTGCTAGCCTCAGGTAGAGTTCTTTACTTCTCTGCACTGGTGAAACCATAGCCAGTAACAATGTTTTCTGTTTATCCGTGTGTACGTACATCCCACTTTCCTGATTGCAATATCTTAGCAAACTCTGAGGAAATCTCTCCAACTTTGTCAGGATTTGGTACATCCTCTTATTATGACAAAATACACTTCCCACCTATTGTTAAATTCCCTCATAGTCTTAATTACATATATCATTATAAGTCAGATATGATGTTAATTGGATTATATGGTGTGACCAAGCTGAAGTACTGAGTACCATCAGTTCTCAGCACAAAATGTATTTAATTTTCATAATGCAGATCTTGTTATTTTAAGATAGAGATCTATAATTATAAGACACTAATGCAATAGCACGTGTCGCTCTGTCAAAAGAAAAGATTTTCACGTCAAGCAGCATCTTGTGGTCGTGTATTGAATGACATGAAACAGTCAATTTAAAAATAATGATACATTCCTCTTTCCCTTGTGTTCTTTTTACTTTCAGGCCACATTTAGTGAATGAATATGGTCACGCCATAAATATGTAATAGGACTTTTTGTCTTAATAAAGAAAATACACAGTATCTGATTTGTTTTGTTTTTTTCAGTTACAGTATGTTTGTGTTCACATGGTTTGGATTCTGTCAGAAGATTTTGAGCAACAAGGTCCAGCTATGACAGACTCAGGTTCAGAGGCTGCTTCAGCCTTGGCGTGTTGCTGGCATCTGAATTGCGTATGGGACTAAGTCCTCGGCCCACCAGCAGTCTGTTGCTATGGCAACCTTTTGGCTTTACACATTTTGGTTGCTGGCTGGTAGCACACCAAACAACACTTCTGCTCCTGCCGTGCCCTCTCAGTCCTACTGTGTCTGTGTGAGGGTGAGTGCGTGTGTGTGTGTGTGTGTGTGTGTGTGTGTGTGTGTGTGTGTGTGTGTGTGTGTGTGTCTTGCGTTGCAGTCTGGCTGTGTGGTGCATTGATTTTGGGCTTACAGTCGGAGTCTCTGCCCAGAGAGAGAAGGTGCTTTTAGCTTCAGTCTTTCTAATCAGGTAATACACACTTTTTAATTCACTGTGTCTGTTTCTATGATGTAGATCCACAGATGTGGTGCATCCTCTGTACAAATATACGTTTGTGCATTTGGTTTATTCTGTTGTTGAAGCCAATGAAAGGCAGGTGGCGATGTCAGAACTGCTCAGACCGGGTTTGTTGTCATCACTGCCGGCTCGCTGTGTGGATGTGACAAGGTCACTTTTACAGTGCTATTGCTTTGTGATTGTGCATGTCTGGGGATTTATTTGAGAGAGGAAACAAAGCACAATGTCTGGTTGAAGGCAGTTTCCTTGATATTGCTTTTTTAATGTCACTTCATGTGTTTGTCTGAAAGAGATAGTATGTTTTTTACAAAGAAAAATTCAACTCTTCCTTCAGAATAAAACTAGAGCTCTTCATTTGTATTTATCTCTCTTTTCTGGGGGCCATTATATTCACCTTTCTAGTAATGTCAATATTTTTCTTTCAAGAATAAATTCTGTCTGGGTGGCGGTGTCAATGTTCACGACCCCAGTCCTCCTCATATGAAACTGGTTAGCGGTGTCATGTTATTTGTTTGATTATTTGAGCTTTACTTTCTCAGTTTGTGCTAATATTAAAAATAGCCTCCATTTGATTTGCCTCCAAGAGACTTGTCTTTGTTGCTGAAAGTGGTCTGAAAATCTGAAAACTTATGTTTGAACTCTCATCTCATTAGACTCACAGTGAGGTAGTAGGATATTTCAGGACACGTTTTATAACATGAAGCAGAATGTCCCTTCTTCACACATCATCACTCACTTTGGAGGTGTTGTCTCACTAATAAAATGGAACCAGTCACAAATCCACAGGGTTATTTTTCCCCCAGGTCTCAGCTTTATGGTCTTTTTTTAGTCGTTTGATGCTACACACACCGATTGTGTTCCACAGTATCATCTGCGTTCCAGGACTGCAAGAAAGGATTTTGTCTGGAAGCAGTAAATAAGCCGCACACATTTATTGCACGTTGCTACTGAAACTGGGAAATGGCTGCTTTGAGTTGGTGAGTGGGCTGTGTTGAGTGTTCCGGAAAGATGTGTGTGTATATATATGTGTGTAATTACATGTGTGTGTGTGTATGCCTTGTTGAAAGCTTGTTTTTGTTGATGTGTGGGTGATTGCAGAAAGAAAAATGTCCTGAAACGGCAGCAGTTAGAGCATCACTGCCGCCCATCCCACATTGCCACTGTTACTATGCAAATGAAGGCAGGTTTGATTAGAGCTGCGCAGCACCACTTATATCTGAACATTCAAACTGGGTCTTAGATTTATTATGGTAAAGAGACAGATACAGTTGTTGGATATTGTCTCTTTTGCTTCAATTTCTTGGTGAAAAGACAGCCTTTATTAGAATACATGTGCACATCATTATCACTGATTTACTTCTATCTTTAAGAGTCAGTGACTGTTTGCTTGTGGGTTTCTGCTCGGCCACATTAACGTCCTTATTTAGCACCTGTTGCCCATGAGTTCCAGACTGTGTTGACAGCCTCTTTCTAAATATTGACACAAGCACCACCATGAAAGTTTTAAATGCACACTTGGTCCTCAATAAAATGTCCAAAAAAAGCATAAACAGAAGTAAACAGCTAATGTATTTTGAATCTTTTGCTGAGTGGATATTATTGTATATATATAAATTCCCTCATTTTTCTAAATCCAACATTTTAAGAAACATTAAATCCTTGCAAATAAAATATCTTTTGCCTCTAGTTTGATGAAAATGATGAGAAATCAACACATGTTAGGTAAAGAATTTTTTAAGGATGCTGGGTTTCCATGGTGACAGCCTTCAACAGTAGCTCAAGCGTTGCAGTTATAATAACAATTTCAGCTCCTCGCTGGCTTCCTACTCAGGCTTTGAGTGACATGATTAAAAATACAGTGTTGTGAAATTGATAGTAGATGAAATAGTTTTTTAGCTACATACGATGGAAGCTTAATGAGCATCATGTCCTCCACTAACACTTTGTTTCACATTCCTCAGACAGTTATTTACCTGGAAGCTACTCAGTGTGTGAAGCGGATGGGGAATTAATCAGTTAAACTAATACCTTAAAGGAGCTACTTGATGTTGCAGACAACATTTGCATTAAAAGCTGTTTATAAATCTGGATGAAGCATTGTGACTGCAGCATCAAAACAGATGGAAAGCACTGCCAATGTTTACCCAAATTCTTGTTTCTTTTTCTATCTCTTCTTTGCTTCCACTGAAGTTAGCATGCTAGCTAATCTCTGCTAGGACAACCCATTATGCCACTTTCTCATAGTGAAAATACCAGGGAACAACATGAACATCCCGTAAAATGTATTTAATGATGGCTGCTGGATTAACTATCACAGTACTTTTGAAAAAAGGAGAATATCCACGCTTCCTCTGACTTGTACATCACCATGGCAAATAAATCCTTGAAGGGGGATTTGAGGTGTGCAGATTTTCTTCTTTTTTTTTCTAACTTTCTGATTGCAAGTCACTGTAGTCTGTCATCATCTGCCCTGCAGAAATAGGGCTGCTCATCTTTTAAATGCAACGATGGTGGAAGCTCCACCTGTCTTTAAAACTTTTCCAGTTTCTTCTACATTATTATTTAGTAGAACTTTGAAATTGACTTCTGTGTGTGTGTGTGTGTGTGTGTGTGTGTGTGTGTGTGTGTGTGTGTGTGTGTGTGTGTGTGTGTGTGTGTGTGTGTGTGTGTGTGTGTGNAGTATGACAGGTTGAGCCTGTCATGTATGTAGAAGAACAGGTTGAACCCGTCATGTATGTAGTATGACAGGTTGAGCCTGTCATGTATGTAGTATGACAGGTTGAACCCGTCATGTATGTATTATGACAGGTTGAGCCTGTCATGTATGTAGTATGACCCTCTGTGTGTGTGTGTGTGTGTGTGTGTGTGCGTGCGTGTGCGTGCGTGCGTGCGTGCGTGCGTGCCTGTCTGTCTGTGTGTGTCTCTGCCAGAACAAGTGTCAGCACGGATTGTGCAAGAAGTGACGGCTGAAGCTGTGGCAGTACTGAAGGGAGAACAGGAGACTCAAAGGCTGCCATCAGGTAAGACACACACACAGACACACACACACACACATACAAACGCACACACATTGAGCCATTTGCAGTTTGTGATTTATATGTTGATAATCCCTCTCTCTACCTCTGTTTGCAGTTGAAGACACCACCAATTTGCCTCCCTCTCCTCCCCCCTCACCTGCTGCAGAACCCTTTGGCCCTCTGGAGCAAGGTAGGGCCAATGTGTTTATAGAAGTACGTCTCTAATGGAGGAGTTTCCTTCCTTCACATGACTGTAACTTCTGGAGGTTTGCGATCGCCAACACATTAGGGTACTGATGTGGGTTGGCCCTGGGTATGCTCTTCAACTCCTCTCAGGACATGCTCCATCTCTAAGGGACAAACCGCACATTGATAGCCTCTACAAGAAACATGTACATATGAGATTTACCAAAAGCAGGAAAATGATTTCCATTTTTCAGACATCCATTTATTCTGAACTCCTGCTTCCTCTTCCTCATCATACACCTGGGACAGATACACGTTGTATCTTCATTGTCATCACCATTTCCCTCAAAAAGAGAGAAGGGTTCACATACATCCACCCTGTTATGTATAGTCATTTTTTCCCATCCTCTTCTTCCGTTTCCCTTTCTAACCTCCACACCTTGCTGTCTTTCCACACACTAATATGACAGCCAATTTCGGTAACCCTCCAACTTCTTGTTGTTTGTCTTTTTTCAGTTGGATGATGTCTTAAAGCTGTGCACTTCTAATCATAGTGTTGTATTGTCATTGTCACTCTCAGTCTCTTTTTTATGTGTTTGGCTGTAGCTGTAAAAATCTATTTACGTTACTTGTAGAGTTACAGATTTTCTTGCCAATAGGCTACTGAAGCCTATAGTAACAAAAGTGAGGCGTAAAAAGGACATTCATTTTGCCATAGCTCTCTGTTGAATTGCAGTATACAATCACTGAATTGCCTTGGTTAGCCTAACCAGGCCAACTAGCACATAGGTAAGCATGTTAGCTAGCCTTACATCTTTACGAATGCCATGCTCATAAATGGCTAAAAACACCTCATTACACTCAACAGAATTTGTCGTCTGTATCTTATATTTCGTTAGCTGTGATGCAGTTTGTCTCTTTATCTTTGACTTTCAAATTTAAGCTTTGTTAGAGTTTTTGTGCAGCTGCCTGCAAGATAAAGTTTGGTCGACTCTGTATGTTCGGGCTTTGTGTTTTAATGTCAGTCTCAGTCCAAGCAGTAACGTAATGAGGAGAGTGTGTAGCGGGGACAGCCATTAAATATGAATAGTCTGTTCTGTCATTTGTACTGTATAAGAAGTAATGAATCATAGATATGAGGTTAAATCCCGCAGGTGATGGTGTTCTGTGTTCTTGACCAGATGGAGTGATACAGAGGTTCAGTTATTGGTTTGTTGTTGTATCTATAGACACAATACATAACGAGTAATAAAAGGCTTGGTCATCGTCAGGCCTTAGAGGTGGTGTTCTATTAAAAATGACCTTTTGAGATACGCTAGGGTTTTCATGTGTGTCCAGCTGGATCCAGAGGTGTTTTATACATGAGGTTTGTGTGTGTTCTAGCAAAGGCAAAACACGTGTTTCTTATTTGGTTACTACAACTACTGCTGTGTTAGTATTTGAACTGTAATTACTTTTTGTCCTCTGTATTTTATTAAGGTTTAATCATCCATATGTGAAGCAGTTCATGTTGATTTCTCTGTTAGACAGTGCGATATATACTCACTTTGTTGGTCTAAGAGTATGGCTGGTCCCTGAAGCTTGGTCACCTTTGAGTTGCTTATCATTGTGTCCTTGTCAGTGTCCTGTGTGTGTTATGTTTCTCTTGCTCTCACTCATACCTTATCTTCTCCTTGCATTCCCCTATCTGGTGACTCTCTGTTTTTGTTGCCTATTGTAAATTTGTATTTTTCATCTTTTTGTTGTTATTTTTCTCTCTACTCAAGCTTTATCTCCGTCTTTGCAAAAAATGTCCACCTTAAAATGTTACTGAAAGATTTATCAAGGAGAGAATTTGGTATTTTTTCTATATTCTTCCTAAAAATTCAAGGATGACACCTATAACTTAGGAGCTAAATCATAATGAAATAAGTAAACAGATATGTGTCATACATCTGTGCATTAGTGTCTTTGTTAAGATACTATACTTCCATGAAAGCGTTTTATCAGAGATGCGCTTAATCCTTAATGCTCAAAGAAAATATTTGTTGTTAAAATAGATTTTTGTAAATCTGACGATTGTAAGCTGAATAAAAGATGGCTATCGTCAATATTTACTAATAAATCTACAAAAGTTTTGTCATTTATTGAAAAAATATTTAAAAACCTATTATTAAATTCATTTTTATTAATTTCTTTAAAAACTCTTAAGAAATGTTACGATAAATCACGTTTAAAGTGGACATTCTTTGGCTTGTTCTCCATTTCTTGTCATTTCTACCTTCCTTTTCATTTATCTTTTTTCCTCCTCTTCACTCTCTCTCTTTCGGTCTGTGTCCAGATTTCCCTGCAGTTCTTCTCCTTGTGTCTGTCTTGTTTGTAGATGTAGGGGATGAGGAGGAGGCGGGCCCTCTCCGCCGCTTCCAAAATTCTCGGGAGAGGTGCAAGTTCCTCGCCCCCTCCATCTCAGTTTCCGTGCCCGAGGACGACCCCTACCACTCCGACGAGGAGTACTATGAGCACCCATTGTTCAGCCCAGAGTGGACGCACTCGGGCTCTCGCCCCACAGGGCAGGCTGTGGCCTTTAGACAGATTGAAGGTGAACCACGCATGGTTCCTCTTTGCCATTTCCCCCCTCCATCTCTGCTCTCTTTCTTTCTCCCTTTTCTCTTTTAAACACCAATTTCCTCTTCTTCTTCTGTGATTTGATCTCCTCCCTCCATTTCTCCTTCCTGCCGTCCTTCCGTCTCTCCGTCCGTCAGTTCGTCTCTTCGTCCGTCTTTGTGTGTGTTTGTGTCCTTGTGATGTGTGTTCGCTCAAAATCTGAGCACTTTCATGTTTTTTACCATCATATTTAGTTTTTTTACAATTAATTTCACCCAAAGCTGTTGCTACCTGTGGTTACCATGCTGCTAAGTCAAACACATAACAGTGATGTCTCTAAAGTAGGAAAATCTTTATTGTGAAACACTAAATGGACCTATTACACTTCACTTCCTTTCAGAGCACACAGCCCAGGGTTAACTTTTCAGACTTGATTAAAGGCCCAAATGGCTTTTATAAAAATGTCACTGTGCGTTAGTGATGACCTCTGTGCACTAATTTTTCTACCAATCATCTCCCACAGTTCTGCTTAAAGTTCATTCCTATTACCCCTTATTCATTTAATTACACTGCACCTCGTCAGGCCCGCTATGCTCATCTTTAACTACTCTGACACTCACTGTGGCAACAAGGAAGACTTTCAGCTCCATACACTCACCAGCACATAAACCCCACATATAATCTCTATAAAACCTTCTAAACTACATTTATTTATTATTTTATTCTTTTTTGAAATAAGGATGTTTGTTTTTAAATTAGCCTAAAGACACAGACAGAACTTCTTCAGTGTATTTTGGCTTTGGCTACACAATAACATGTCAACTCTGTCAGTTCTCTGTAACAAGGTTCTGCATTATTATAATAATAAATCTGTTGCCTGGACAGTTCATCACAATTGATTATATCTTCATTATAACCTCTGTCGTTTCCCAATGCATAAACAGAGAGAAACCGACTCCTCCAACACATCTCTCCGAGCAGCTTATTTTATATAGATGAACAGTATTAGCATAAAGCTAAATGAGACTTGCAAAAAAATATTGATCAATATCTAAATGGCTATATCGATCATTGCAATTATATGTATTTGTTCACTAAACACATTCTTAAGAGTTGTGTAGATATATGATTGCCTGTTAAACTGAATAATGCATTAATACTGTTAATGCACACTGATTCTGGATTGTGGTTTTCTATCCCAGCCTGCCCCAACCCCCTTTATCATTGCTGAGAAACAAATCTTACAGAAATATTTATTTTTACCAGCATCTACATTTAAATCAGCCATTTATTAACAACCCTAGCCAAGAGAGAGGTTGAGTCAGTTTGGATTGAAAGCTTGGCGAGTGGAAGAGATGGGAGAGGATTGTTATTTCTTTCTAAATCATACAGTAAATAAAACAATAATGTATTTCCAAAATAAATTAAAAATGTCCTTCATGTTTTAACTTACCTTGAACATATGTAGTATATCATTAGGGATTATTTTCACACTGGTTACACTAAGCCCCCAAAAAGAAGCATGCAAACATATACAGAATGTATACACACTGTATGTGTAATGTACCTATATGTGTGAACAGACAAGCACTTAGTCATCTTTTCCCAGAGCTGAAAGTGTCCTGTCATAAGTTGTGTTCTCACATAACCCAAGTCTGTGTTGCCTGTAGTCTTAATGTGTCACCCTCTCACCCTGTTTTTGATAAGAAGAGACCATGGAGGCTCTTACAGCTGAATACGAGGAGGAGGTTGAAGAGGAGGAGGAGGAGGAGGAGGAGAGTGCAGAGGCAGCAGAGTCCGAAGCAGCTCTTGATGAGCAGCAATGGAGTGGGGACGAGCCTGAGCTGGACAGCCCCCAAGCTGAGCCCTTAGAGCAGGCAGAGGCCATAGACGAGGCTCTAGACCTGGAGCCGTCCGAAGCAATTAGTGCTCCCACAGAAAGCTCTATGGACAGAGAGGAGGAGGAAGCAGAGGGTGAGGAGAGCCCTGAGACAGGTGTGTCCTGCCCTCTGCACTCCCTGCCTGCATGTTACAGCATTGTCCACTGTATAAGAACACCAGATATGTCGAAGGGAACCCATAAGCTTATAACATGAGCATTATAATTCAGGAATGGCAAGTGATCCTCTCTGTGCTCTGCTGCGGCTGCAAGGCAACACAGGCTTGTTGGTGAAAAGAGTCACATTCTTTTGAACTTAACCTGGTTTTACTGTGTGTTATCTTTGCGCTTGCATTTTTATTTTTCTTGCTGTGGTCTTGGAGGCCGGACATTTCATATTGGTGTGATAAACTGCTATAAGCTATTAGCCTACAGGTTTTTTTCCATTATATCCAGGCTTGGTGCTACGATTTATTTCCAACCATCAATCATACTAAACATGGATCACTCCATAGAGAATTTGCAGGGTAATTTGTGTTGGCTGTCTCAAGTTCATTGTGTCACAGTTGTTCTCATCAAGTGCGTTACTTGATTTTGCTTTATTCACCGTGACAGCATGTAGCACTTCTCTGTCATCACCAGCAAGGTGCTTCTGTATTTGTGCTTATATTGTTTCAAATATGCAATGACATTTGAAAGTCATTGTTAAGACCTTTAATTAATTTGATGTTAGCAAAATAATGTGACCACTGAAACATTTTATATGGACAAAGTCAAAAATATTTTATTGCACTTAAAAGGACGACAGAAATGCTATTTATTTTTGTATCTGATGTTTTGAAGAGTCGCATGGATATCCATCCTATCTGTCATCGCTTGTTTCCCATAAATCAGCATCACAGTCTCCTCATGCCGGTTCCGTCACATACCATGCCATATTCTCATCCATCTGTGAATTGGTGGACCCCCATTAACTCGCCGTACTTCTTCAGTGATGGCCGTATCATTGTGCTGTAAGTTTCTCAGGACAGCTTTGCCTGTTTCTGTAATAATTGCTTTTCCAGTCCCTGCCTTAAAATGACATCCCACTCGCAGCATGCCAAAGCAATTCATTTCTGTGTTGATGAAAACAGCCAACTTAAAGATGTCGTTTCAGCTTTGAAGATGGACTCAGACAAGCAGGACAGTGGGTCCATGAGCCCAGACAGCATTGGATCAGAGAAACGCCCGGAGGAGTTTTTTGAGCCCCAGGTCCAAGGATTTTTTGCTGGGGAACGAGTTGTACCAGAGAGCCCCACAATGGATATGCCGTCCTTCGTACCTCAAGACCAAGCCAAAGAATCTGCCAAACCGCTCACACTTCAGCCTACATATGGTGAGCCAATCACAGTGTCAGAGAAGCAGCCGTCAGTGGAGGTGGTGGAGTTCAGCAGTATTGGTGCGCCTTCTGATTTCGGTTCAATGGAAACTAAAGTTCAAGGAGAAGACTCAACAAGAGATGCAAGAGACAGGTCTGGAATGTCAGCATATTTTGAAACTTCAGCCACAGAGGCTGACAAGGTTTCACAATGTAAGGGTGAGGGTTATTACGAACTGAGCAGAGCTGGCGAAGAGAAGAGTGCAATTGATTCCAGGTCTCAGGAGATAAGTTACAGCACACTAGCTGGAGCCCAGGATCAATCTGAAAGTAAAACAAGTACGGCAGAAGACACTGGAGTGTTTGCAGTTCCTGACAGGAATAATGAATGCAGGCTTTCCCCAGGTAAACTGGCCTTGGAGCAGAGGAGTTACTCACTTAACATCACCATTGGAGCAATGGATCACAGTGGCCAAGGCAAACCCAGGCACTTCTCCCCACTGGCCACAGATATAATGTCATACACTAGTGGAAGTCTGGATGAGTCGGCAGACTACCTCCCAGTTACTACACCCTCTGTGGAGAAGCCTCCATCCTTCCCTCCCCTGATCCTGGAGACTGCAGCCTCCATCACTTCAGATTCCTCATCTCCTCCCAGGACCAGTGAACTAGATTCAAAACCCAGCCATGAACCAGAGTTGCCTGAATCACCTCAGCTCCCCAAGAATAATGATAATAATGGCACAGTGATGACACAAGACTTGCCTGAGATGCTGGACCTTGCCGGTACCCGTTCAAGACTTGCATCAGAGAACACTGACCCAGAAATAATCAGGAGAAAGTCAATTCAAGTGGATGTCCCTGCCTTCACTGATGACCCACTGGCTAGCCTTATTTCAGGGGAACAAAGTCCTGGGGCCAGAAAAAGTGACAGCCAGCTTGAGGAGATGGGTTATTGTGTATTCAGTGAATATTCAGGGCCCATGCCATCCCCTGCAGATGTCTTTAGCCCTACAAACGCTTCTGCACAAGTCTTTACCCCCTCCGTTCTGGAGGAGAAGATGGCTGAGCAGGCAAGGAAGCTTGCAGTCAGAGACACGTCTTTGGAGGAAAAGACTCAGCAAATAGCAGCTGCTGAGGTCACTGAAGAGAAAGATCAGAAGCAGGTAGAAAGAGAGGTTTCCACCGAAGAAAAAGACAAGGAGATTGCAGATGGTCAGTTGACTAAATCTGTAATTGAGCAGGAGAAACTGCCAAGTGAGTCTTTTGTGACCCCAACGGTCACAGTGACTCTAGAAGAAGGTGGGAGGTCAGTGAGTGAGACTGAACGACAGGCCAGTGGAGAAGGCTCAGCATCAGAAACCGAGATTGCTGACTATGAGAGGCAGATCCGCAAATTGGAGATGGAGGACAGACCTCTCAGCGTGGAGGAGGAAAGGGAACTACAGGAGCTCCGGGAGAAAGTGAAGCTGGTCCACCAGGAGGCCTATGAGGAAGTGGATGCTGAAGATGTGTACCAGTTGACCGGCGTGGCCAAGGACCGAATTGCCAGACCTGTCAAAACTTCACCTGCGTCATCTGTAGAGAGCAATATTGATGATGACAAGCTGCTCTCCCCTGTGCTCTCACCCTCTAAGCTCAAACAACGAGAGGTTTATGGCTCCCCTAAAAGATCTGCGTCGCCAGTAACCAAAGAGGAGAAGGGAAATGAGGAATTAGAGAGAAAAGTAAAAGAAGAGCATGATAGGGAAGAAGCTGAAAAGAAAATGAAAGAAGAGGCAGAAAAGAGAGCGAAAGAGGAGAGGGAAAAGAGAGAGAAAGAAGAAAGGGAGAAAGAAGAGGCAGAGCTGATATTGAGGGAAGAAAAAGAAAGGAAGGAGAAAGAACAAAAAGAGCTGGAGAAATTAGAGAAAGAGAAGAAAGAGAAAGAGGAGAGAGAGAGGAAAGAGAAAGAGGAGAGAGAGAGGAGAGAGAAAGAGGAGAGAGAGAGGAAAGAGAAAGAAGACATGGAGATGAAAGAACGACAAGAGAGAGAAAAAATGGAGCGAGAGGAGAGAGAAAGGAAAGAACAAGAAGAAAAAGAAAGAATAGAGAAAGAATTGAGGGAAAAGGAAGAGAAAGAAAAAATAGAGAGGGAACTAAAAGAGAAGGAGGAGAAAGAGAAGATGGAACTGAAAGTAAAGGAAGAGAGGGAGAAAGCAGAAGAGATGGACAAAAAGGTTGTGGACAAACCCGTGGAGAAAGAAACACAACCAGATGAAAAAGCACATGTGGAGGAAGAGGGAGGAGAGGAAGACATGTTGGAGAAACCAGGGGCAGCAGCTGAAGTAGCAGTCACGAAGGAGATCACTGAGACTTGTGCTGCCATTGAATCAGTGGTGACAGTTGAAGACGACTTCATCACTGTGGTCCAGACCATTGATGAAGCAGAAGAGCCGGGACACAGCGTTCGTTTCTCGGCTCCACCTGAGGCCGAAGCCCTTTGTGTCGCTGCCCAGAAAGAACAAGAGGAGGAGGAGGAGGAGGAGGAGGAAGAGGAGGAATCTGTGGAGTTGGCCCAGGAAGCCGATATGGAGGCTGCCAGTTTAGAGGAGGTGGCTGACGTTCCAGAGACCCCTGCCTCCCTCGAGAAGGAAGCAGAAACCATAGAGACAGAAGGAAAGACAGAAAGCTATGACAGAGATGAGACCACAATGGACGACTCCATCCTGGACAGCTCCTGGGTTGACGCTCAAGGTGAGATCTCTTTGGTGGTTTTGGCCTGAATATAGATTGGTTTTCTTCCTTTCTTGCATCTACTTCTAAAAAAAAAGACAGTTATATTGTTTTATGTGTCGCATGTCCTGTTTTCCTGCAGATGATGATATGAGTATGGCAACAGAGCAGATCGAGTCTTTGCCCAAGGTGCACAGCCCAGTTGAAAAGCCCGGTATGGTCCCAAGCAAACACTCACAACAGAAGAAGCAAGAGAAACAGGAGAAGCCATTCAAACCAAAGGCCAAAGGAGGGCGCCATAGAGGTCGAATCTCCACACCAGAACGCAAACCTGTCCGCAAGGAACCTGTCTACATCCCCAGAGAGGACGTCAAGAAGAAAAAAGGTTCTTGTTATTTTGTTTTTACATTTGATTTTCTTGAGGTCTGTTATATCTCAATAGCTCAGAATCGGTCCTGTCAGTTGACTGCCTTTAGTATAATTCACCAAAACAAATTCAAACTAAAAAAGTGGATCAGGGCTCTTGAACTCCATATTTTTCTGTTGTTTAACATCCATCTCTCTCTGCTTCTTGTTGTGTCTCTGTCAATGGCCTTGTTTCCTCTGATAATGTAGCTGTGATAAGGAAGGCTGAGCTGACCAAAAAAATTGAGACTTACATCCAATCTCCTTCCAAGAGGACTGTGATAAAAGCAGCAGTCCGCGAGACCCGCCCCACCCACCACTCCTGCCCCAGAAGGAGACACACAGGTGACACATTGCCCTGGTCTGTCACACAACTGGTTCTTTCTGCGCTGCAGGACAGTCACCACAAGACCAGTTTTCACTACATTTTTACTCCACTGTCAGCTTCATTTTGTTTTTGGCATCTGTTTGGTTTTATTTGTTGCAGCAGTTTGTTTTTGTCTCTACGTTGAAATAAAAATTTTCTGTCAAACATGTTTCTTTGACTTCATCTTTTTTGGTTCGGTTTGTGTTGTATTTTGCAGTCTCTGTCTATCTCTTTTTTTTAATGTCCTTCTCATTCATATAATTTCAAATGTTTTGATGATTTCTTTGATAATCATGGACATGGTGGATGAAGGTCTTACAGATGATAGAGGTCTTTTAAAAAAAACCACACAACCTCTCTCAACTCTCCGGTCATGCACATCCACTCCACCACTGTGACCTATGTTTTTCAGGCAACTCCAGGTTTTTACGTTTTAACACTGCTACTCTGTACCACGGGCGGTTTGCTTTTCATTTTCCCCTGGTGGACTAAAATTCTGTGTCAGTCAAGAAGAAAGCTCAGTATGCTGCTGCTGCACTGTCCCAATTAGATTATTTTAAAGGTTGCATTGCATAACACGATATCCCCCATTTTGTGTGATATCTTGCCAAGTCTTTTCAGAACAGTGCTCTCAGGGGGGCAGCAACACACTCCCATAGAACATTATATTTGTCATGTCGCTGACACTGCCAAATTTTGGTTTACAAAGCTGGATGTCTTTATTTTTAGATTTCCATTCAGGGATAAAAAGATAATGGAAATCATGTAATATAATCATGAAGTGGGACATTTCAAATGCTCTCACTTATTTTCCTCTAAATTATAAAGGTAACACATGTACTCTGTCTGATTATGTTGATTTCCCTGAAATTCTGTTTCTCTCTCTGCCCCTCAGAGGCCCTGCCAGACAGTCGTCAGCCTCTCAGTGTTGCAAGACAGTCTCGTGACAGAGCACCAGTAAGTAAATCACACCAGCCCAACAATTGCTCAACCTCTGGCACCAGGAACTTTCAGAGAAACACCATAATGAAGCCTTACTGGCCCAGAGCCTGAATCACCAGTTGGGTTTGTGTCAGAGCAACCAAATAAACATCAGTCAAGACAAATTGACCTTGAAGATCAAACCTTTTATGTGTAAAGCCTCTCCATGGAAATTAGAACAATGCCTTTAGAATACAGAGCAGGGATCCAAGTGTGCAGTATCTCTTTAACTTTCTCATAAGCAGCTCTGATGTCTCCGTCACCAGGAACATTAATTATCTTGTTATCTCTCATCGTTTCTGGTGCCATTGATTTCAAACCAGTAATTCCTGGTCCCCTTGCCTTGTGCATCATTACTGTATACACTGAAACAATATGCACCACAATAATTAGGCAAAATAAATATCTCTCTAATTAAGATTCTGTTATGTATTCTGCTCATATGACTTCCACTAAACCTAATTATCTATTCAGACAAACACATTACATAAAGTCTGAATCCGAATCACTGCACAAAAAATGATTGCTTTTCTGTATATATTTATATGACGGTTCTTTTGATTTTTGTTAAAATGTTTGCCATTGTTGCCTTGTTTAATGGCTCTATGCAGACGTAGATAAGACAGATCCATTTAGAATGTTTTTTTTTTAGTGAGTGGGTGTTCAATCACCCTGTGACATTTCTCCTGCGACTGTGGTCGTGATTCCATTTTGCTCCTCTCCATGGTAATGACACATATTGTGTTTAAAATAACACAGTTTCTGCCTCTCTAAAATGTCATGTCATTAAAGTGTATGGTGTCACTCTGAGCCCACATATGCTCTATTTCACCACATATTTGCTCTCTCTATTGACAGTCTCTAAATAAATCTGTTACTATGGTGTGCAGTGTAACTTGAAATCTTGCAAGGGCATGGCGAACAGTATTCTTTCTGCAAGCTCTTTATTATTTGTATGACATTTAAATGGGAGAACATGCTTCTTTCATTAAAATATTATGTTCACGATGAATGTGCATGAATGGAGCAAAGGAGGTTAAATTAAATGTCAAACACGCAAGATCTGATGCTAATATCTCATTCCTCATCCTTAAATACATTGATAATTGAGAATGCAGAAGAAGCACTGTGTTATTTTCATCCTGTATCCTGTGCTTTGGAGCCATGCTGCCCACTAGGCTCAATTGTTGCATCATCTCAAGTGTCATGCCCATTGTTTGCCCCTAACAAAGATCCCCACCTCCATATCCACAGTGACTACCTCATTAGACAGACTTCATCCATCCTCAGCAGGGCCTCAAGGCTCTGCAGTATTACAGTGACTCATAGCCAAGGTAGGCAGATGTATGACTTGCACTGTGGCTGTAGGAATTATGGAAAAAACTTAAAAACAAAAACACAATTTTTAAATATCACTTTCTTTTCCTTATATTCTGCATCTAAACCGGTTGTTTCACCTCCTATTAAAAATAAATCACAGCCACACTGGCCTAAGGATCTTCCTCCTGGTGTGTCTCTCAACAGGATGGTGGATCACGGAGCCCAGACAAGAAGTCTCTGCCCCGGCACACCTCCATTCTGAGTCGCCGTGGGTACCACGACCAAGAGGAGAGTTCCACCTCCATCACCAGCTCCGGCTCAACAGCTCCCCGCAGACCCACATGTAGGCTGCAGCTCCTCCAATCCACTTACTGTACAAAGTACTATTGTTCAGGTGGCATCAGGAAGCACAAAACCAATATAACAACTTCCAACATCAGTCAAAATATCACTGATTCAATCAATATCTAACAAAATGCTGACTCGAATGTTGATATTAAGACATTTTTGAAAAGTTAAAAATACTCTTATGTATTATGTAGTGCTGTAGTGAAAAGCAACATCATTTTGTCAGATCAAATTTAGATCACTTTAGTTGTCTAATTAGAAATGTACACATTTCATATTCTACTAATAGAATTGCATTTTTTTCATGTTTGATTAGACTAAACCAGTATGCACTGTATCTTCCCTCTTGCTATATTTTTTTTCATTCATTCTGTATTAATCAGATAAGCTTCTTTTCCTAATTCATTTTACTCTGGTCATCATCCGTGCAACAGAATGTCAATTTGTTTTTCTTTGGTTTATCAAAACATTACCTGCTTAACTACAGATCCAGTCATATGCATGTGCAATTTAAATGCTAGCATGCTACAAATATCCAGTTCTGTAATACCTCTCCTCTCGTGCTTTCTGTAGCGTTCCGCACTGAGATGAGGGCAGAGCACAGGACAGGGCGAGCCCCAAGTATGACAGGTAGAAGGGATTTTCTTTACCAGAAACTATTCACTACAGGATTATTGTAATGTGTTGTGTTAGATTATACAGGTCTACTTGATAAACTGGTACCTGGATGTGGGTAATATATTTTAATGGGATGATAACTGCATATTGCTTACTACAAAACAATTCCAACTTTAAGCCTCTTTACGTCTCCCAAACAGTCACAGAATCAATACGCTCGCGTTCAGCTCGCAGTGGTCACTCTACCCCACGCACTCCTGGGTCCACAGCCATCACCCCAGGGACCCCTCCCAGCTACTCGTCGTCATCGAGGACCCCTGGAACCCCTCGTTCCCTCAGCTTGATTTCCCAGGAGAGGAAGGTGGCAGTAGTCCGCACCCCACCCAAGTCACCCGCAACCACACCCAAGCAGCTTCGCATCATCAACCAGCCACTGCCTGACTTCAAGAACATCAAGTCCAAGATCGGCTCCACAGAGAATATCAAGTACCAGCCCAAAGGAGGACAGGTGACACCCAAATACCTGTAGCTGCTGCTTACGTGTTTGTCTTCCATCTTTGCAATGTCGCTTGTGTTTCTGCCTTTACTATGTGCCTCTGTTTCATGAGTTCAGAGATAGATGCCTTCATTGACATGTTGATTTATGTTAGTACAGGAAACATGTAGAAAGAACAAATTATGTCTCCTCTTAGGTTTTTAGTCTCCTACCACACTGCACCCCTGATTCTGTCCTTGAACCACAGCGCAACTAAGGGTTCAACATCAATAAGAAGAAATGGGCACACAAACAACAACCATGCAATGTCTTAATGTATAAAAACTAAAATTGACCAGCAGCAGCATTTTGAATACAAATTGTATTTAAGTGTGCTTAACACATCTGCCTTTTTCTTGTGCTCTGACAGGCATCCTTCTCTTTGACCTGTTTTACACTTGCTGTCTTTTGTGTCTTTTTCTTACTGCTCTCCACTGTTAGCAGTTATTCTGCTGATTCACCAGAGTGAAAGACCAATGTGTTTAGAAATAACGGTGGAAAAAAAGAATATCAACCCTCACAGCTATTTATTAAGGAATGTGCGTACATTTCAAGGAAGAGAAAAAATAATATTGCCAAATTGTTCTTATTATAATGCATTCAATTTTAAGTTTCCACAGATTTTCAAAAGTCCTTAAACGTGTAAGATAAAGACTGGAACTTATTGAAATCCATAATTTAAGTAATGATGTTGACAACTGACTCCCAACTCTGCTGTTCTCTGCAAGTTTAGCAGCTTTCATGTGTGACCAGTAGTGAACTTCCCAGTGGTTGTCCTATATCCAACTGAAGGGTCGCCATTTGCAGCAAGTGAGGTCACACATAAGTTGAAGTACTTCCTGTCCTCTGCATAAGATGAGAGCCAAAACAAAGCTGTCCTTAGAGATAGGAACACAAGATCAACCGAGCCAATGGATAATTTTGACTAAATATCAGGCTGTACTAAAAAAAAATCAGGCCTCTGTAAGGACAAAATTGTACTTACGGTATTTCTTAAAATTGTCTTTCTTAAACATATCCATTCTCAGGTTCCAAATTCAAACAATCAGAAAAGTGACCTGACTTTGACATCACATTGCATTTCAAAATTGTGAGCTACATTTGTTCCTCCAGTTCTCCCCTGGTCTGTGACCTGAAGCCATCACTTCAGCCTTCAGGAACCTGCATTTCAAATCAGGTTTTCCTTTGCTGCCCAGAATCTGCAATAACAGGCTGTTTGGGAGAGCATATTCCACAGTTTGACAAATATGTTGCTCCAGCATTAGTCTGAAACACAATGTCAGCGCTACAACAGGAAGCACAGTAATGAAAACAGTGATGTGTCTGTAGCCATCAGCTCTTACAAGCCTCCGCTGATGACCTGATTAGGAGTCTAAGCATTCGGCTGACAACTTTATGACTTGCCAAGTCTCTGCGTTCTGCTCTGTGCAGCCAGACACAAAATGGGGAGGGATCGTGCTCCTTACGCCTCCCTGTCAGCTGCAGGAGAAATGGCCTGAGTGGAGTTTCTGTGCATGTTTGCATGTCTGTGTGCGCAAGCATGCATGCTACAGGGTCATGATGAGTGCCACTGCTGAAACTGATGTTCCTTTTATGCAAATTTCTCTTGGAGTAAAGTATGTAGAGGGTAAGACGGATGATAACTTGCACTAGGAATCTAACAGATTTATATCCAGGTTTTAATTTTGGGTGGGGGTTGTGCAGTTAAAGGTAATTTTACCCAGTGTGAATATGTGATATTTGAGATTGCCTGACAGTGTAGACAACCCAGTGCTCCCCATCAAGTGCTACAGGATTTTGGGTGTGGTTGGTCCATGGTTGAGTAGAACTTTGGTCCTGTGTCTACCAGTAGTTTTGATACTAACGTCAGTGTTGAGTATGTTTATTTCCTCCATAGTAGCAGTGATAGGATTTTGCAATGTTTATATTCGATCAAGTGATGGTAATCCTTAAATTAACAAGATGCAGTCTCCCACTCCTCAGTATGTTTTTCTCTTTCTCTTTCCTGACAGCTGTGTATTTGCAAACTGCAGTGTGAGATGTGTATACAATGACTCTCAGCTCAGTCAGTTTGAAAATCTAGAATATAAAGACGCGGGTTCGGTCTGTTGTCAGCCCCCTCCTCTTTCATGTGTCCCCTGTGGCTGAACTATTCTTGAACCGTCCTTCAGCAGCATATTGTATCAGGAAACAATCTACTGTGCAAAACAAGAAATGGTTGTTGTGAGCACAATTCCCATTAGTTTTACAGTTCAGATGGTAAAATACACAGATGTCTTCCAATATTTTAGTCACACATTATGTACAAGTATCCAATATGACCCATGTATACTTTTCCTAACATGTGGTAGCCCTTAACAGCTCCATGTAGTTTTATTATTTTCAAGCAGCTCCCTTAGAGAGCCTCTCTCAGCCACTGACCTGTCCATCATTGTCCTCATAGACGCACACGGACCAAAATACGCCGCCAGAGGCCAAACATAAGGCTTCTTGGATCTGGAAATCAGTGCTGCGCCTCATCTCTGTTACTCTGTGTCTGTCAGCAGCACACAATGTGACCTGGACACAAGACCTGCTGGTACACCTCAGCACTGTTAGTTATGCCACTAGGTGTATTTAGTGTATTTTAGAGCCCTGATATGAGTGTGCCACTGAAAAAGAAAAAAAAAACAGATAAACAATGATAACTTTTTGATCAATACATTTACATTTCAATGTGGAATAAAGCCAAATAATCTCTTAAATTAAATAATTAGATTTAACAAAAAACTATACAGCTAACTTTTACTTTACATGATAAATTGATCTCTTTGTATATATAAGTATTTGATTAAGCTGTCATATTTAAGGAAGTAGTCACATTAAGTCAATCATGGATTTTGCTGTTTGTGAGACTTAAGAATTTTATTTCAGGGCTTACACATCATTAAACTCAAGAGCTATGTCTTAAAATAAAGACAATAGTTTAATGGAATTTTTAAATGTTGAAAGAGGAAATAAACCAACTTTAATTCTTTAGTAACCTGAAGAATTACAAAGACTATTTAATTTAGTACTTTATTTGTAATATTTCGAGTCATTTTATGCATCTATTTACCTTACAATTACTGTTTGTCATTTGATCATTTAACAAACTAATTATATATAGATATATTATATTTGTACATTTTGTAAATTATAAATGTCAATATTTATTTCAGTGACACACTCTAGGTTCCATAGTTTTCAACAGGTAGTTTTAAAAAATAAAATAATACACCAAGTTTTGTGATGGAAATGCAATGAAAAATTGTAGTAAAAAGTGAAAAAACATATATGGCCATGTCCAGCAAGGTTTGTTTAAATTAGATCACATTTATAGAAACAGGTTATCCAAAGTAATGCATGATGAAAAGTAGAGTAATGTATTGTCACTCAACTGAAATGGTTATAAACCTGCATCTCTCCTCATCACCTATAGTAGTAGTTCATTTTATAGGACTATAACAGATAATTGATGGCACTAACAGATGAATGATTGAAATTCTCTCTAAAAACTTGGTGTATTTGTTTATTTTTGCACATTAAACCGCAATGTCACATTACCACATCGGTGTTCACGATCTGGATCTCATGCCATCGTAAAGTCAATACAATGTATATAAATGACCTCACGTTTTTTTCTGAAATTTTTTTTCCCAGAACATTGTTCATCACTTTCCTCCAGCATCTAATCCAGTCCGTTTAGGTTTTTATTCTCATCCACCATGTAAGAGGTCCATACTATCTGTGTATTTCTCCATAGATTCATATTTTAAACAGGAAGGTGGACTTCAGTCATGTACTGTCAAAATGCAGCTCCAAGGAAAATCTGAAGCACTCTTCTCGAGGAGGCAATGTATGTACTCTTCCATCTTCACCTTCCTCCACTGAGGAGATGGGTGATGGCCCCTGTGTAGTTAGATTTAAGTCCAGTGAAGTGACATGCAGCAAGCTGCTTCGTAGCTTTGTAGTCGAGTGTCGTAGTACATTAGTTACATTTCCCCTATAATCTCTACTTCCCCACTTCAGGTTGATTTTTGCGCTTGAAACTTGCTTATCTGTACAATTCTTATATTTTATACCATATTCTACAGCCTCTGTTTTTAGCATGAGAGAGCAGAGCCATAAACCCCAGAATAACTCAACTGTCTGGCACCAAGGTGGTCTCACGGTTCGAGAGAGAAAGATGACCAAAGCCATATGTTGGCAAATGTCTCCTGTGCTCGTGTGTACTTGAGTAAGACACTTTAAGTCCCAACTTCTTCCCTACAGAAATCCCTGTCATCATTTATATTGGGTTGGTTTCTACATTCAATCTAGTGCTTCATACTGTGCATCTTGGGTCCAGCCTGTGTCTTGTTGTTATTTCCAATTGTGTGGTTAAAGCTGTTTAGGATCATCCCAGATATCAATTGTGGATCTCAATAGTGGATCTTAATAGTGGATCTTAATAGTGGATCTAAGTTAAAAGTGTTTTTCTTACCCTAGAAATGGTTCAGATTCCCATTTTCTCCTATGGTGTTAGTTTGTACCAATTCAAGTACATGTAGAGACAGTAAATTCAATCTTTCTTT